TATATATATACACACTACTTGTACTACTATTCCTCCTTCAGTTTTCACTTATCGTGGGTCTTCAAGGTACGAATCCCCCGCAATAAACGTGGGACTATTGTACAAAACAACCTTTTTTTTTTAATTTTTTTTAAAGAGAAATCTAGTTGTTCCCCTAAAGTAATGCATCTGCGTATTATTTACCACTTCTTGTTACGTAAATCTGCAGCCACATGTCTTTGTCATGCAGACGCTGCTGAAGATTCTCAGTCATCCAGGTCATGATTAAAACCTCAAATAGGGTTAAAAAAACAAAAACAACTAGACTTCTATTCTGAATATTCTAAAATATTCTATTCTTTCAGCTTCAGTCCTGCTATTTTAGGTTTTCTTTAACCCTTTTTTGGATTTGTCATACAGATCTATTCTTTGAGCTAAACATATTGCCGTGTTTGCTACTTGAACGAGTAACTTCTGTCTTATGTTCTTAACTTTTTTTGTGTTTTCTCCTGTTTTTCAGACAATGCCAGCTCCGATCAGACTGCGGGAGCTGATCCGGACTATCCGGACAGCACGAACCCAAGCAGAGGAGCGCGAGATGATCCAGAAAGAGTGTGCTGCTATCCGCTCATCCTTCAGAGAGGAAGACAATACATACCGTTGCAGAAATGTGGCAAAACTACTTTATATGCACATGCTGGGCTATCCGGCACACTTTGGCCAGGTATGCTTGTTGATGCCGGGAAGATGATTGAGAGGACTACATTGAGATTTCCTTTCATGGAATGTTTTCAGAGTTTATCTTGGGATTTTATGACAATTTCTCCATTTCACCTCCTCTCCCACCTTTTGTTTTAGTTGGAGTGCCTGAAGCTGATCGCGTCTCAGAAGTTCACTGACAAACGAATAGGTTATTTGGGAGCTATGCTGCTGTTGGACGAGAGACAGGATGTTCATCTATTAATGACAAATTGCATTAAAAAGTAAGTGAAGATCAAACCAGTCCAATATAATTAGTCGGCTACGCAGAGTCAATTCAGCAATTTAGCCACGACCTTAAACGTACCTTATCTGTTTCTAAAATGTGTATAACTCAGCGTTTCCACTCACATTATGTAAGTGGGGCACCCCACCCCCCAAAATGGAATCGCCCACCCCCTCATAAAGGCATGTAATAAACAGCTTGTAATTATTTTTTGTGCATGATATGCATTTTTGAACATTTGACCAATTCACTGTGGCTGGGCTAGACCCCAGAGCTGATGCATCGTCCCATGGAACAAAGTTATTTAAAGGCTAAACTAAGTTTTCAGTTTGAAGCTTTAGGAGTTTTTTCACTGTAATCTCATTTTGACTTGTAAACATTCACATTACGAGTAGAGCCAGACCGATATGGAAATTTTGGTTATCACCGATACTGATATTGGGAGGGGGACACTAATACCAATAACTAATATAATAGCTGGAATTTTTTTTGCTTTGTCCATCCCCAATAATCTTAAATAAACAGCTGCTTTTAAACCTGTTTTAACACTTGGAAGTCTTGAAACAGTCTAACGTGCGTTCAGATTTCTATCAATTCAGTTTATTTCTGTTGCGCCAAGTCACAACAGAAGTCATCTCAGCGCACCGCACAGAAACATTCATATACATAACAAGTCAGTTAACATAAGGTAACATTATATATCTGAGGAGCTCTGAGTTAAACTTCATCGCAGACTCATCTTGAGCAAGCATGAAGGCAACGGTGGAAAGGAAAAACTCACTATCCTCCGCTATTCACCATAAAGTTATCAAGTGCGTTTACAAACATTTAAATTAAAGAAACACCTCCCCTGTTCATTGTTTAAACGGTCACGCATGTTGATGGTGACGGTCTAATCGGTACTGATCGCAGCCGAGTTTATTTTTCTTTGTAGAGAAGTAAAAATTTCAGACAAACAATACATTTCATTGAAGACGACAAAGATAACGTTACTAACGCTGATATATTTTACCTCTTTGTTATATTTATTGTTCTGGATAAAGTTTACAAGACAATAGCCTATGCTAGGTTATCTAAACGTTAGCTTGCTAACTTGAGAGGCACGTAGCTAATGACAAGCGGGTTGGAGGATTGAAGAGAAATTAGTGTTGATTTATTTTACAGATGAGTTAAAATAAACTTGCAATGCTCTGTTCAGCAAAGTACGACGCACAGTATTGCTCCCTGCTTCGTCTGCTCTGAAAATGGAACTTAAGTGAACGGCCATGATTTGAAAGTAGTCTTCATGCGCCCTCTGCTGGATGTATTGTGCAATTACGGCTGGTTTCAGCATTTTAGGGGTTAAAATTAGAAGTTCTTATATTGGCTCATAATGGGACAATTATCACGGATACCGTTATGTCCCCATACGCCTATATCGGCCCTACTGATATATCGGTCGGGCTCTAATTATGAGTGGTTTTATGTTAGAATTATCTAGTTTTTGGACTTGTTTAAAGTACTTCAACACCAAAAACACCAGTATTGGTGCTTATACAGTCAAACTAGACAAAATAATCAGAATCAATTAAAAAATCACAATTCAGTTTTTGTATTTAACCATTTATTGAACTGCATGCAGCCTTAAAAAATAATTTTTCTACCAAAAGGCTTGGGAAATGTTTTTTGAGAAGCCCTGAAAAACTAAAACTGAAAAGCTGAACATTTTGTAAATAAATCGTCCGAGTAAAAAAAAAAAAAGTATTTAAATGTACTATTTGTTATTCAAATGTTATATTTATTGCCATTATTAAAAGTAAAACATTAAGTCTTTCTTTTCTTTGTCTTGTTGAAAAACTTAGAAGAAATGCTGTAAACTTTTAGTTTTTCTATTGATAGATGAACCATAATTGTCACAATAACTTCTATCCTCATTTGCACCTCTGCGTTACTGCATTTAGTGTTCCTTGTTTGTGTACTCCTGCATTTCCGTGTCTTATTTGATTCCTTTTGTCCTCCCACACCAGTGATTTGAATCACAGCACACAATATGTCCAAGGCCTGGCTTTGTGCACTTTAGGCTGCATGGGATCTTCAGAAATGTGTCGTGACCTGGCAGGAGAAGTAGAAAAGCTGCTCAAAACTTCCAACTCATACTTAAGGAAAAAAGTAAGCTTCACTGTTGTCATAAATTGAATACTTGTCTTTTGTTATTGCTTAACTCTATGGAACTACCAGATTTGCAGATGGGTTATTGTTGTCGTATTTTATTGAAATATTTGTCGACAGGCAGCGTTGTGCGCAGTTCATGTCATCAGGAAGGTCCCAGAACTCATGGAAATGTTCCTTCCAGCCACAAAAAACCTGCTGAGCGAGAAGAACCACGGTAACAATCTGTCAGGATGCACTTTTTGGTTTTGGGGAGTAAATGTGGGTGTTCGACACAAATGCACACTTCATCTTATTTCTTGCCACTCATGGAGCGTTGTTACAAACTACTGGGTAACATATGCTCCATTTGTTGTCCTTTGTAGAGGAGTCTGGAGCTTATAGGCCTGTCATACTGTGAGCTTTGACGGTACTGCTGTGATACTAAGTTGGTCATAATTTAGTTGTAAATCATAATTAGCCGTCCTGCCTTGCACATTAGATATAAATCAAACATGAGTCACATGTTTGTGAGTCATGTTTCACCCATCGAACATGGGTGATGCAGCTATAAAAGGAGCATACACATTGAGCATAGTCAGAAGTAACTAAAAGAAAAGAGCTTGCATACTTTACACATAGGGCCAGTTGATGTACATTCTTTGCTGTAGCCCATTTTCTCCAACGATCATAAACATTTATGTAAAATGCGATGAGATGCTGAATCGTTAACGGCATCTTGACTGAAGGACACTGCATACTCCAGCCGAAGTGACGAAATTGGCTCTCATTGACGTAGTTGTGTGACAGAAATCCGTCATTTTGTTCTCAGAGGAGCTTTGTGGACGACGTTTGTAGGCGTGTTCATCAGTGTGGAAATGTGCTTGGATGGTCAGCTGTACGACTCCAGGAACTCCTGGATGGAGACTGTGCAGACATTAGCCGTTTTGCCATTGATGAGTGCGACTCCACTCGGCCCCCGTCTTACCGGTTCTTCTCAGGTGTAGGCGATTTGCCACTGTGACGTGTTTCCCGGCTCTCTGGGCGGGATCGTCAATGAAAAGTTGGCGGCATCGTAGCAGGCCATTGCGTTCGAGCCACTCAGCCCGTTGTGGTCCTTAATCGCCGTATTTCGACCAGTTTATCTTATCCCGGCACTGCTAATAAAACCGGGTGTAGCCGTGCTGCATCGTCGTCTCTAATACCTCTCTGTAAATGTGCTCACGATTACAGAGGAAATGGGGCTTCAGATGTGTTCTGCTTCGTATGGAGTATTCAGGGTCCTTCAGTCATCCAGACTGGTTTGACAGTGGACATTCTGTACAGTATTTTGTTTGAAGTGGTTGCAAACGTTTCTTTGATTTAGTACCATACTGGTTCCCATTTCATTCTATCAAGTCTTCAAATCTAGCTGCTAAACACAACGTGACTTAAGCACGCTGCAACTGTGATGGCTGCTTATCTGAAACATTGGGGCCGTTGAGTAGCATATACCTGTACAGGTAAAATTGAGCATAAAATTAAAAGCTTTACTAAAAAACATTTGTAATAAAATTGATTTCATTTTTTAGATTAGTTCATCTGTAATAATTACTACTGCGTGCTCTCAGCAGAGCTTTCTACTGATGTCCCTAAAATCAGTTGTTTCTAATACAGATTGAGTAATAACTTCTGTAGTCAATCATATGTGTACTAATATGTGACATTATCTGTCTGGACATCTGGACACTGCAGCATATTGGGTAATGGTATTTTTTAATAATATTTTACTAGCATTTAAATTACTTTTTATAAATGCTTGGTAGGGCTGGGCGATATGGACCTAAATTAATATCTCGATATTTTAAGGTAAATGGCGATATACGACGTGGCAGCACGGTGGCGCAACTGGTAGAGCTGCTGCCTCTCAGCGAGCAGGTCCCTGGTTCAAATCCCGGTCCGGGAGCCTTTCTGGGTGGAGTTTGCATGTTCTCTCCGTGCATGCGTGGGTTTTCTCCGGGTACTCCGGTTTCCTCCCACAGACCAAAAACATGCATGTTAGGTTCATTGGTAACTCTAAATTGTCCCTAGGTGTGAGTGAGAGAGTGAATGGTTGTTTGTCTCGTTTGTCTCTATGTGTCCCTGTGATGGACTTGCGACCCGTCCAGGGTGTACCCCGCCCCTCGCACAGTGATTGCTGGACATGGGCACCGGCGACCCCCGTGACCCAAAATGGAAGAAGCGGGTAAAAAGATAATGGATGGATGGGCGATATACGTTATATTTCTCATTATTTTTTTCTTTACATAAAGTAATAAAAATATATTTGAGTCTAAACTTTGTCCCAATTGTGACACAGGCACATTTATTAACAAAGAGCTGTAACTGTACAAAATAAATATCTAAAAAAATAATCTATTTACATATATTAAATCGTAATATTCTTCAGCTGTGCCGCCTTCACGACTTTAGTAAGCGTGTGTGAAGCGGCACGTGAGGGGGTGTTTGTATCCAGTGAGGGAGGAGGAGGGACCACGGGAAGTTGGCGGAGCTGACGGGCACAAAAAGAACTACACGGATTTTCAAGTCTTACAGTGAGAGGTAGCGCGACATTAATAAAGCAGCGGCTTATCATATCGCTAAAGACACGGTCCTTAGCGGCTAACAAGATGGCTAACCATAGCCGTCTTGTTCCACGGTTGAGACTGGGACCGTGTCTTTAGCGATATGTCACGCTACCTCTCACTGTTCCTCTCATAAGGCACAGCACGGCTAAATGAGTTTTGACCTGTGGTTTGTCTCGGGGAAGGAGGCTGAAGTCACTCGGAGCTGCAGATGCAGTTTCGAACACACTTCATACTCTACTCATAGCGCTGTTTTGAATAGGGATGGGTCCGATCCAATATCCATATCGGGCTCCGATACCAGCATAATTTACGTACCGGATTTTTTCGATCCAACCTGCAGAGATTTCCGATCCACGATGTCTCTTGTGTCTCCAAGTAAAACGTCTCCACATGCCAGCCCTGCCAGCTGCTCTGCACGTTGGCTTCAAACTATGGAATGGATTTCCTAAGCGGAGGCGTGTCTCATGAACCCAGAGTAATAAGACCCGCCTCATATTCAGGAAATCCATTTCATAGCTTGCAGCCAGCTAAAACGTGCAGTAGCACTGTGGCTAACGGCTAACCAACTTTTCCTCTAAACATGTCCGCTGTGTGGAAGTATTTTACTCTAGAAGCACCACAAAACAAGACGGCAACGTGTAATGTCTGCAGAGCCATAGCACCACATTAAACCGCGGTAAAGTTAGTTTTACGTTGGACATTCGGGCTCTGGGGCTTCAGCGGTGTGTTATTGTCGTTCAGTCCGGAGAAGACGGTCTGATTTCGGTCAGCCGCGCTCGGTCTTCCCGTCTCGGAGGAGGGGCAGACCGAGCTCGGCTGACCGAAATCAGACTGTCTTCTCCAGACTGAATGATAATTACACACCGCTGAAGCCCCAGAGCTCGAATATTTAACGAGAAGTTGCTAAACTTCATCGTAATTAATGACCCTGACTATCAGTTGTAGAAAACGAAGGATTTCACTGCTTGATACTTGAAGCCAAGATATAGTTGACCCTCCAGGAGATATTTATCAGTACAACAGTAGACGATCATAAAAGAGCATATGAATTTAAAAAATACAAGAAAATTATATATGTATAAAAACAAAACAAAAACAGCTACATTATAAAGTGATGTAAAAAAACAGGAACATGTCTGTGTTGATGTTTGAAGCCATCGAATCACTTTAATATCCACTTTAAAGCTTGGAATAATAAAAAAACGACAACACGTGTTAGCAGGATTTAATTCTAACTTTGAAACTTATCCAACATTTATAAAACTTACCTCATGTTGCCTTTTTGGACATGCATATATTTGTACAAATTGTACTTACCTATAGAGAGGAGATTATTACAGCCTCATGTAAAAATCTATAAAGATGATGGTATTGGGACGGTATCGGTATCGGCTAATACACAGAGTCAGATATCGGGATCGGAAGTTAAAAAATGTGGATCGGTGCATCCCTAGTTCTAAATGTTGAAAAAGATTCATAGTGCTGACGTTTTCTCGGGACTTGTTTTCGACATCGTCTACAGAAAACATTTTTTTCTGCTGCTCATCTGACAATTTAAATCCAAACCATCTCCAAATAGCAGCCATTGTTTTCCTTTTTGCTAAGCTGCTCTTCGATATCCTCTCCTGTGTTTACTTGTTGTGCTAACTCCCGCCCACCTGGAGAAGCAGGAAGCGGGGGGAGCGGGGGAGGGGCTGGGCTTTTTATTCGTTGAGTGAGGAGGAGGGGGTCACGTGCAATTGGTGCAGACGGGAGAAAAAGAATGACACGGATTTTCAAATCCAATTATAACGTAGAAGTATCGATATAGACGATATAGTCCCATCTTATATCGCATATGAAATTATCTTGATATTTTTTAAATATCGATATATCGCCCAGCCCTACTGCTTGGAAATCAGAAAACAGTATACAGGGTTTTTTCCCCTTGTGCTTCTTTGGGTCAAACTATAAAACATAATCGGACCTCTTCTCACAGGAGCAACCACGGAATATAATAAAACCTCTGAAAAGCATCAACATCTTGAACAGGCCTTTGTTTCAGCGAACATTTTACCTTGAAAGGGTAGAGGAAGCGCAAGCGTATTGATGAATACTGCATTCCACTTCTGCTGTGTACGATCTTTGTTCTGTATAACGTGCACATGAGCAGAACTTCCCCTGGAATGCAGCCCTCGTGAAAACACCTGTGCGTTCCTTATTCTTTCAAGCCATAGTGGTTCCCATGAACAGAGTATCAGTGGAGGCAACAATGGTGTCTTCTTACAAAAAGCTATTTAGTTGGACCACACAGGGGTGACTGACACAGAAAGTAAAATAGCACTTGCAGTTATATTCATTATTTGAAAAACTTTTTTTATTTTCTAAGGTGTTCTTCATACGTCTGTTGTTCTCCTCACTGAGATGTGTGAAAGAAGTCCTGATATGCTGGCCCACTTCAGAAAGGTACAAAGATATGGTCTTAAGTTTAACGTTATTGTACTTATGCATTTGTCTTAAGCTCATGTCACATTTCATTCTCCTTTGGTTACACATCTTATTTTGTTATGACTGAGATGGGCAAACGTGTTTAACTGTTTGGATTGCGCTGCAGGTTTCTTCGACATTCAGAATATCTCCCTGATCTCTTTCCTCTGTCTTTTCTCTTGTATCTCAACTGTTGCTGTGCCTCTTCTCTGTAGGTGTTTACAGAAATAAGCCAGAAGCAGCACGTTTCATGCTCATAATCTGAACTTTATTTTAAGCACTCTGAAAGTGAATGACTTCCAGTTTCCCCTCCCTAACATCTACTTCATATTTTTTCTGTCATTTGTCTTTGTTACAATTCCTGCATTGTGTTAGAATGAGAAGGTAAGAGGACATTCTGATCTCATAGCTGGTGCATGCTGTTAGTAGTAATCACTCCTCACGGTCACCTCAAATGTAACCAGATTTGTTTTAAGTAATGCCATTTTGTTTTAATTTAGAGTTTTAATTTGTTTATCTTGTACAGTGATCATTAATATGTCAGTGCTTTGAATATTTTACAACCGTTTTTGACCCATTCGTCAGATACATATCTCACTATTATTTTGAATGTCATTTTTTTGCCTAACATGCAATCTGTTTGGTCACTGTCTATTTTTTTTTAAGTAGTCTGGTGGGTGTGTTCTCACATGATAGCCACAGGTGTCACTAGGAGCAGATTTTCTTTTAACACTTTATCACTGTAAGACAGAAGCTTGTTATAACTGCACTGAGCCTGTTTAATTACAGAGGGGTGGATGTTGGTCTGGATGCAGGTTAAAAGTGCATCAGTGGGATGTCATGTTAACAAATGAGTTTCAAAAAGTATAGGAAGTTTTTCAAATTTAAAATCATTACTCTGCAATTTTGAGGTTATTTGTTTTTGTTCCCTTTTTACAATAAATGATAGGAGTCACTAGGCCTGTTACGATAAATAATAAATCAATTAATCGCATGATAAATGAAAATTATCTACCTGATTCTCGTTTATCGGTTCTGTCGTTTCTTTGTGTCTCTCTCTTTCTACTGAAGACACTGGATGACAAAAGGCTCAACTCCGGTGCTCCTCACTGACCACTCCCTTTCTCTTTTCTCTTTAAAATCCATTTTAATCGTCCACAGTCGTGTTTTTGGATCGTTAAAAGCAGCTAAGCTACGAGCTAAGCTAACAGGCTGATCTTTGGAAAAAAAAAAAACTCTGTCTTGTCAAAGCTCCAAAATTCAAGGTTGAAACCCGTGGCTTCGTGTAAAAAGTTTTCTCTCTGCAAAAAGAAGCTGAGAACTTGTTTACTGATTTTTTTATTTATTTTTTTCATTTAAAAGCTTTGTGTGAAAAACGCTATGCTAAAGAGCTCAAACCACATCAAGCGTCCGCCATTTTGAGAACCGAAAAACGGGAACGAGAGACTGCCCATGTCACGTCAAGGGGCCTCCCTCCCATTTTCTTAGAGACACGCTGCTTGCTCCCTCACTATCCATCCTTCAGTTCAAACAGTCTTATACTGCCATCCAGTGGTCAAACAGAGGTACTACACACAAATATTAACCAACATTTCTTCATAAATTTGACAATAATTACTAATTATTGTCAAATGTCAAACAGTATTATCGTTTATCGCAATAATTTGAGACAATTAATCGCCCATCAAAATGTGTTATCGTGACAGGCCTAGAAGTCAACATCTAATACAAACCAATACGTTTTTAATGCCATTTTTGCAGCTCCCATATGTTGTTGCTGTGTAGAACTTAAGTTTGGTTTAACAGTTGCTGTAAGCAACAGTTGAACAAAACGCGTCCTAAAATAAAAGTATCCATTCCCTTGGCCACAAAAATTGGAAAGCAGTTATCTCATTTACTGGACTAGATGGCACTTTGCTTTCCAAATGTATTATTGTATGTTACCTCTGATAATATTATTATAAAGTACAGAGAGGCATCTCTATTTACTGTATAATGATGGTCAAAAGTGACAGAAATGTGTACTGAGACGTTTTTGGTCAAAGTGAACTGTTCTAATCCAGTGTTTTTGTACAATCAACACTTTAATTCCCTTACACAGCAGATTATTCAGGCACACAATTGTTTTACCTGAATTACCTCAGTAAACAATCTTTTATTTTCACTTCCCACCTTTGGATTACTGCCACTTGGAATTTAAAAAAATATATTTTTAACTTGTTAATTGAAAACTGTGTGAATGTTGAACATGAGTAGTTTGAGATCCACTGAAATTTCTTCTTTTTATTATTATTTTTTTTTAAATAGCTGGTTCCACAGTTGGTGAGAATCCTGAAGAACCTAATAATGTCTGGGTACTCTCCGGAGCATGATGTGTCGGGCATAAGTGACCCTTTCCTGCAGGTAAATCTCTCTTTAATACTTGCCCATAAAAGTGCTGATGTGATTTATTTAAGGTAATAACGTTATTGATCCTGCAGGAAATTGTTGTTCCAAAGTTTCAACACAAAGAAGGAATCACACAAGATATAAAAAAATAACAGCAAATATAAAAATACCAACACTTAAGTTCTAAAACGGGTCAGGTGCAGACAGAAACATTAAAGTGTTTATTGTAGTGCAGGATTGATTTTATTCTATGTGTAGAAAGGGGGAGGAGTTTAAATGTTTTCTAGCCAAAGGGAGGAAGGACTTACCAGTAGTTTAAGATTTAGTTATTTTCTGTAATGGACAAAATTTCTCAGTGCAGCCGGGGGGGGGGGGGGGGTCTTGTTCGGTGGCCGCAGGGTTCCACCTCTGCTATTTGTGGATGATGTGGTCCTGGTGGCATCATCGAACCACAGCTTCTCAGCCGAGTGTAAAGAGGCTGGGATTAGGACCAGCACCTCCAAATCTGAGGCTGTGGTCCTCTCGGTCGTAAAAGGGCGGATTGCCCTCTTCGAATTAGGAGTGAGGTGCTGCCTCAGTTGCAGGAGTTCAGGGTTTCGTCCACATGTGAGAAAAGAGTAGAGCTCAAAATCGATAGACTGATGCAGTTTTGCGTGCTCTGCTGGTCAGTCGTCGTGTAGAGGGACCTGTGCTGCAAGGCGCAGCGATGTATTGTTACTACTCTCACGCACACACGGTCACGAACTATGACAATAGACGAGATCGCAGATTCAAGAGATCCCTGCTGGGTAGCTGGGCTTTCTCTTAAAAACAGGGTGAGAAGTTCGGCTATTTGAGAGAGACTGAGTAGAGCTCCTCCACATGGAGGCATCTGGTAAGGCTGCCCCCTGGAGGCACCTCTAGGGAGGTTTTCCGGGCATGTCCCACTGGGAGGAGCCCCAGGGGAAGACACTTGTCTCTCTGCTGGCCTGGGAGTGCCTTGGAGTCGTCCTAGAAAGGCTGGAAGAGGTGGCTGTGGAAAGAGCTGCTTGGGCCTTCAAGGTGTTGCTTGATCAATAGATGGATGGGTGGGCGTCTATGTGTCTTTATTTTTATGTGGGGACTCCTTTGTATTTCATTGTTATTGAAATATCTAAGAAAAACAATGTTTGTTTTTATGTCGAGCGTCATTTATTATATAGATAATTAACAATAAAGTGTATGAACAATTAGAGCATGCAGCTAAACTGCACAAGTCCAGCAAACCATCGTTGATGAATGTTGTTTACTGAATAGGTGCGGATATTGAGACTACTGCGAATTTTAGGCAAGAATGACGACGATTCCAGTGAAGCAATGAACGACATTCTTGCACAGGTTAGAATAATAAAACGTCATTACGTTGATTTAAAAGCTCATTGACTCAGTGTAACCGATGCATTAATGTGATACAGGTGGCCACAAACACAGAGACGAGTAAAAATGTAGGCAATGCAATCTTGTACGAAACTGTACTGACTATAATGGACATCAAGTCTGAAAGTGGACTACGGGTGAGTCGACTTCAAGGAGTAACTTGACTAGAATGTTTTTGCTGTTTTTACTCTTTTTAAATGTCTTTTTCCCTCCACAGGTTTTGGCTATTAACATACTAGGTCGCTTCCTTCTTAACAATGACAAAAACATTAGGTAATTCACATACCCTGTTTTGCTCTTTGAGCATACAGTCATTAAAATGTTAATATATACTAATTACGCTTGAACTGTTTTCAGATATGTGGCATTGACATCTCTACTAAAGACGGTACAAACGGATCATAATGCAGTGCAGAGGCATCGAAGCACCATCGTGGATTGTTTAAAAGACCTGGACGTGTCCATCAAGAGGTTATTATTACTGCTTATATTTGAGATTTTAGTTGCACGTTTCTTTTTATTTAGCCTTAGTATTTCTGACTCTTTGTTTTTACGTTATTCTTCTTCTTTGCTGTGTAGACGTGCAATGGAGCTGAGCTTTGCCCTCGTGAATGGCAACAACATCAGAGGCATGATGAAGGAGCTGCTCTACTTCCTGGACTCCTGTGACCCAGAATTCAAAGCCGATTGTGCATCAGGAGTTTTTCTAGCTGCGGAGAAGTACGTCCATACGTTCTACCTTCATCCAGCTTTTTGTAGGATTTTAGAAAGACATGCTCCATCACGCTGTCACAATTAACATCGTTTCAGGCTTTGATTTTTAGGATATTCAGAATACTTTCAATATAACATACTGTTATCGCCTATCAGGATAAAAATTTGTGATGTTGCTTTCAAGGCTACAAAATGAAAAGCTGTATGATGATAAACTGAGTGATCCATCGTCAGAATGACCTTGGTGATGCCTTTTTATTCTGACAGCATTTGTCTCCTGTGTGAACAGAGTTAACCCTCTTTTCTTCTTCTTTGACTTATCGTGCATTTTCATTTTGTTTTTTTTACAGATATGCTCCTTCAAAACGATGGCACATAGACACCATTATGAGAGTACTGACAACAGTATGTATATTCCAAATTACTATTAAGCATTACCGTATTTTTCGCCTTATAAGTCAGTTTTTTGCATAATTTACATGCCCTGCGACTTCTAGGCTGAAGCAACATATTTATGGATTTTTCCCCATATTTATAAACCAATTTTTGTCTGAGATATAAAAGTTTTCATTTATTCTGACTGGGGGAAAAAAGAGCAGTACCACTTTCAGCCACTAGATGGTAGCAATAGTAGTAAAGCATGCCGTCGCATCATGTAATAGGTAAACGTGGCTATAATGACAAATTCAAAAAAGTGAAATACAAAAACAACTGGACTTTATTTATTATACTTTACTTTATACTTTTTTTTATTTCTTGAACTTTTTTGAATTTATCATGTCCTGGATGACCGAGAATCTTCACTAGCTATTAATGACGCAGTCGGCCTGCCGTAGACCCACCTTCGTTCTGCACCGCTCCGGAGAAATGCAGCTAATTTGACCATTAAAGTGCATTTATTAAGCAAACATTAGACTGAGACACACATTTACTATAATTCTGAGCAAACAAATAATTGTTTTTAAGTGTTTATCTTGTTAAAGTCCTCACGTGCGCGCTCTCGCGGCCGCCATTTGGCAGCCAATCAATTTTTGGCACAACTCCGGCCCACATTTCCGGGTTGTCTGCGATGACGCATAATAGATGCGACATATTTATGGATTTTTCCACTTTATTAGACAAATATGGACTGATGCGACTTACAGGGCGGAGCCACGTGTACGGTGGAAAATACGGTACTTTAAGTAACTCAAATGAAGTGGGTCAGTTCTAGCGCAGATCTTTACAGGCTGCAACTGACAAACTGTTTGTTTGATGCTTTCGTGTTCCTGTTCTTGTAGGCAGGAAGCTACGTACGAGACGACTCCGTTCCCAACCTCATCCAGCTCATCACGAACAGCGTGGAGATGCATGCCTACACAGTTCAGAGACTTTACAAAGCATTGCTGGACGACATTTCACAGGTCAGAGCAGTTCTGCCTCAGCGCGCCATTAAATTTAAGATGTCTTCAAATCTGAAGTTTACAGACATAAACTTGTTTTTCTGATATTTGTTTTAAATATCGAAGAGCGCAAACTAAACACAAGTCATATTTCCTTTCTTTAGCAACCTCTTGTGCAGGTTGCATCATGGTGCATAGGAGAATATGGAGACCTGCTAGTGTCAGGGCAGTGTGAGGAGGAAGAGCCCATCCAGGTACCACAGAAGAAATCGCTCATGCACACAACTGAACTGAGGATTACACAGATGTTTAGGGAGCTTGAAGTAATTGGACATTGTTTAATCTCTTTTTTTATTTTGTTCTCTTCCTTTTTTCAATGAAGGTGACCGAAGATGAAGTTCTTGATGTGTTGGAAGGGCTTCTGGTGTCAAACCTGTCCACGCCTGTGACTCGAGGTTACGCTCTTACTGCTATCATGAAGCTGTCTACTCGCTTCAGCAGCGTAAAGTGAGTGACTGATTTTTAAACTTGTCCGAACATTTTTTTTTAAAGAAATTAGGGGTGCACCATATTGGATTTTTGGCCAATATGTTAAAACTTGTTTGACCGATACCGATATTTTTTATATACTTTGTCAGAACAGAGCCCTCTTATTTAGGCTTATTTGCCACAAAAATTGTGTAACAGCTGGTGACATATATTCAGTAACAGCCATAGCACTTTAACTTATATTAAATGAAAAGTGTTGAATGTTATTTATTAGCATTAGTCACCTGCGATGCTGTCTTACCTGTGGAGGCTTGTTCCAGGTTCCTATAGCTGCAGTGTGGGATCCTCTGCACTCCTGTGCATGAAGGACAGATCAAAGTTTTTTTCTATCCATTGAGTTGTAAGACTAATCATGCTAACGGGCTAACACGACGTCCAAATGTCTGTGGTAAAACTCACCCAAGTGCTATCGGCTGTTAGCTTCTCAATGACGTCGGAAATGACGACTTGTAACTCGTCGGAAAACATCTCGGACTGTGGACGATGTTGCGAGGCTCAACGTAGTCCGTAAATCTTGGGAATCCGACATCCTCACCAACAAAAAAACTTCCACACCGCCGACATTTTGGCTTCTTCCTCTCCGCCGCCGCGATCAGATCAGGTGGGCGCGCATGACGTCATCACGTTGTGCGGGCGCTGCGGGCGTCCTTGTCACTGGGTTGTCATACAAAACCAGTGTCGTTTTATATCGGAGAATTATTTTGATGGAATGTCCGATATTAAACCTTTAACGCTAATACTGGTCGATACCGTGTCGATAATATCGTGCATCCCTAAAAGAAATGCATTGATGCAGCTTAAACGGTATGTCTTTAATAATGTGGTGATAAAATAAAAACGGTGTTTAACCAAAAAAGCAGCTCAAAGTATTTAATATTGTACATTTTGGATTGTCAGAATACGGTAACTCATTTTCACAGTTGGAACCTTATCTACCTTTAATTAACCATAAGCACATTTTCCAGATTTATTTGCCGACTATTGTAGTTTTGCTCATCTCACAGTAAAGTAATGCAGATCATTTAATAGAAAATGTATAAATTATTATTTTATTTTTTTTACCGAGTCCCATTAAAGATTATACTGACATCTGCTTGTAGTAATTTCAGAAATTAGACATAATTCAGGCATTTTTCAATCAATCAATCAACCTTTATTTATACAGGTAAATCCCATTGAGCCTCGAGGACTCATTTACAAATTACATTTTTAAATTATTATTACTAATAACTGTTGATAATTTTATTGTAATGATCCATAACTTTTTTTTTCTTTGCTGGCGTCCAACTGTTTTGACTTTACCCTTTTATTAATTTAACGTTTAAGCCGAATCAAGAAGGTGGTTTCGATATACGGCAGCAGCATCGACGTGGAGCTTCAACAAAGAGCTGTCGAGTACAACGCACTTTTCAAGAAATACGACCACATGAGGTAAAAATGCACTACTTTTAACTTTTAAAAAGAAAAACAACTCATCACAATCGTAATGCATCAGCAGTTTCTGGGAAAACCAAATGGAGTTTTTGAGTTTGATCCATGTTCTTGACAATAGATCAGCTCTTCTTGAGCGGATGCCTATTATGGAGAAAACTGCAAGTAATGGCCCCACAGAAATTGTACAGACAAACGGTGAGACCGAGCCCTCTGTTGTGGAGCCCAAACATCCGCCGCCCGTCACCCAACCAACAAACCAGGTGAGTTTATGACGACATCATCAGTATCATCTGAGTTTCGTAGCGCTCCGTTAACAGTAAACTCGTACATAATCGTATAATAATCGTGTCCGTTACTGTTTTAGATGTAAGAAATCTTGTAGAGGAATCTATTGTGAAAATATCTGACACGGTTTTCCCTCCATAGGCTACTGATTTGTTAGACTTGCTGGGTGGTAATGACTTGGCGCCTGTAATCCAGACTACAGTGCCCACAAAACCCGCCTCAGCTGGAGGAGAGCTGCTTGATCTTCTTGGTGACCTCTCACTAAGTGGTAGGGTGTTTAACGTCCAGCATCATTTGACTCATTCACAAGAAAAAACTGACCCCGGTGTAACCGTATGTTTAACACTGTGAATGCAATTAAAGCGCTTAATCCAAATGTGCAATCCACCTAAACCCTGGTGTGAAACCTTCCCCCTCCCAGGAGGTCCAACACCTACTCCTGCCCCTGCAGTGCCCACTTCCCAACCCTCCTTCCTGTTGGATGGCCTATCCTCGCAGCCCTTGTTTAACGATATTGCAGCTGCAGGTGAGCGGGTGCTGCTTCCAGAGGAGCTATACACCAACAAATCAGTTTGAAGTTAGAGTTTTCAATATATATATATATTTAATTTTGTGATGTTTGTCACCCTAAACGTCTGCTTAGGTATTCCTCCTATAACTGCATACACCAAGAATGGTCTGAAAATAGACTTTACATTTGAGAGAGCTAACCCCAACCCAAACATCGCGGTCATCACTATTCACGCGTCCAACTCTACGGAGACGGACATGACGGACTTTGTTTTCCAGGCTGCAGTACCAAAGGTCAGCATCTGTCATTTAAGTCGATTTTATATTTACCGCACAATTCGTGTCATCTCTGGTGAATGTTGCATAAGTTGGGTGTTCAACTCAAAAGTCACTTGTGTTTATAGAAGTCTGAAAATGTTCGGTGATCAGGAAGTAAATGCTCTCCTCATGTTGGGACACGTGGATGTGTTGAACATCTTCCTTCACTCTCTGAAGAAACCTGGATAAAATGATGAATGACCGTTTGTCCCCTCTTCCACTGAGTTGCAGCTGCTTCTGGCTCATTTTGTTTTGCAGACTACGTTAAAAATGACCATCGCAGCTGCATTTTAGTTATTTTTTGCTTTCATTGTAATGAAATGTATAAATATACGCCCACAATGTGTTTTTCATAATGACATGGCTGCAGTTCTTGGAGGCATCATCAGTTTTAGAGTTGACTTTTAACAGATGCGTTTGAAAAGTCGTCCCCGCTCGATATCCGCCAGTTGAAACGACCCAGTTTATTTCCCGTCGTGGGTTTCATTATATTTTCATCCCAACACAGTTTTCTGTGTTTATTAGACATTCCAGCTGCAGCTTCTGTCCCCCAGCAGTAACGTCGTCCCGGCGCTCAACCAGGGAACGGTCACGCAAGTCATCAGAGTCCTCAACCCACAGAAGGTGAGTTCTTCCCCTTAAATGTCCATTTAAGAGGGTTTTCTTCGCTTGAAGTACAATTTGCACACGGACCTGTTTTTAAATGTCCTGTTTTGTAAACTACTGCCATGCTCACGACATTTCAGCAACAACTACGGATGAGGATCAAACTGACCTACACCCACAGAGGCTCGGCTGTGCAAGACCTGGCGGAGGTTAATAACTTCCCCCCACAGTCGTGGCAGTGATGACCTGTTCCTCTAAGCCCCACCAAGGGAACTATGACAACAGCTTTTTTTTGGTTGGTTGTTTTGCTTTTTCTTTCACCCCCACCCACCTCCACCTTTTTTCCAATGGATCTCCCTGTGAAGTCACTGCAGACTGCTGCCCTCCAGTTGCACGGGAAGCATCAAAGCATCGAACGCCGGAGAATAATAAAGATGTTACGAAGACCCTGTAGACATTGCAAGAATTAATTGGGAAAACATATCGATGAACTTTTTCCTCTTAATTGGTTTCAATATTTTCTTTTGCTCGGTAAGTTGCTGTATTTTTCATGCGTTCCCTCTTCCCAGCGCCATTACAGCACACGCACACAATTCACTGTGGCACACTTTACCTCTGGAGTAGAGAAAGTCTTTCCCCCTGTGGGCACTGCAGGAACATTTTATTTTAACGATCCCGTCATGTTGTGATCGGCTTTGCTTTGATTTATTTTGTACCAACCATCAGTCCTTCAGTGGCACCCAGGAAATGTTTGAAAGGTCTTACTAGCGTGTCCACAAACTCATGAGCTAACGTCGTTTTGTTCATTTTTAAGACGTCTGTGATATAACTTCTTAGAGTTGTATTCATTTTGAATTACATTAATTTAATGAAAGCGTGTTGGAGCTTTGCTGCGGTCTCTGTCACATCTGGACCTGAGCTCACAGGATTTCCTGGTTCTGCCTCACGTTGCTGTAGGAAATCTTCAGGTTCAAGAACAAGCAGAGCACGCTCACTTTGACCTCCCGCGGCCACTTGTGGCCGTTTTATCATCTCATCTGTAAAGAAGCGACAGCCCGTAGATCTGTACGATAAATTCTAATTGTTAAAATGAAACGTTTCGTTCGCTAGAACGGGCGTAACGCGGCTCTTGAACTTCTCTGAAGACGAATGGATTGCGCTCGTGTTGGAGGTTTGCGTTTTGAACTTTTCATGCATCCGTGTCATCGGTGTAGCCCGCAAATGAATTTTCAGATTTGTTTAAGCTGCTTCAACGTGGTCACCATGCGCACACGTGCAAATGAAGCTTGTTATGAATGTAGTTACATGCACTGAATGCTTCTTCCCCCAATTTCCTAATTCTTTGTTTCCATGATAATGCTCATCTTAGTAGCACTGTTTTTGTGGACGTTTGTTTTTATTTCTGCAGTAATTTGACTTAATTTATGCCTGATGTCAAAGCGATGTGCCTTTCTCACTTGGCTGGATGAAAGCCTCTGAGCTGAGCTTCGTGCGACGATGGCGCCCTCCGCCGAGGGGAAGGGTCTTGATGGGTTTGAACCAGTATCATTTATTTTTCACTTCTGTTTGTAACAAGTTAAGCAGTGTACCACTAATACTGATTTTTATGGATGCTCAGAACAATGTATAAATTATATTCGCAACATTCAGAAAATTTATTTAGTTTGTCAAATAAAAAAAATTAAAAAAAAACCTGGATTGTAATATTCTAAAAGTTAATTTCTAAGATAATGGCAGCTAAGACATCTATATATAATCTGGCTTCAGAGGTGCCAGTTCTTTTCAAAAATAGAAGTTTAAATATCACTAATCTCCCCAAACGCTGAATTTTGTGTTATTGTGATCTAGTTTGTGTCTTCAAATCAGAATTTTGAGCACGTTGTCATAAATTTTAATACCTCACGACGTTTGATATTTGTTCATTTCTCAGAGGCGGTGAGTTGACCACCTTTAGTCACACGATGCAGTCTTAACGAAGCACCTGCACGAGAAGGACTAATTAATTAATTAATTAATGCTCTTTTCGTTACGCTTCACGATCTTTTAACTTCTGTGACCAAATCCGAGAGATTATTAGCTTTGGAATTATTTTGGAGCGATGATGTGCACATGGAGAAAATGTGGGGTCGAAGTTTTTTTTTTTTTTTTTTTCCCCGTTTTTGAAAAAAATATTTTGGCTTTGTTTCTGTACATAACGAGGGCTTTTACGTACGATGTATCTATTGTACGATCTTTCCTCCTTTTTTTAAGCTACCGTTTTCTACAACAACAAAAAAAAAACACCTTTCAGTTATTTACCACGTATAGCGTCTAAATAGTTAGTTGGCACCGGTCTATTAAAACTTCTGTCATCACGCATTCATTGCAAAAGATGAGATCTGCTGCCTGTACATTGTATATAGTTGTAAAACCAACGCCTATCAGATTAAATGAAATCCACATAAGATTAGCTAAAAAATATAATCGTATGCATATATGTACAAAAATAACCTTAAAAGGATGCAACTTGATTTACTATTTCTCGTGCTTGAATCTTGGCGATTGGACGAATAATGTTTGAACAAAGCGAGGGCAACGTGGTGGAAGTTTAAATCAGAGTTTATTCTATCGTAAATGTTTGCACTGTACTACTGAGAGAGCAGCACGTCGCTTCGTTTGCTCCCGTCCTTCAAACCTCACATTTCCACGCTCTCTCGAAGAGGAGCAGCTTTTTGCCCCAGTCTGGCCTTCCGTGCCGTCTCCACGTTCAACCTACAGCCGTCCTGTCAAGTGACGCCCTTTTGATTCTGTGTTTGTGCTCGGCTCCTCCGCAGAGCATCTTCCATCTAAGCAAAGACGCTAACGGTGCCACGCTGAGAAATGAGCAGCGGGTTTTTGAACCTTCGTGGCACACCTCTATAATTTGCAAACATCTAAATGGAACGGTGATGCTGAAGCTCTTAAAATCGAATTGACACGAGTAGTCGTTTGATTTCAACAATGCGAAGCTGTAAATCGCGATACGATCGAGGCAGTTTTCTTCTTTTGAATCTTTTCTAATTTGATTCATTTCCGCTTCATCGAAACGAGCGTGTTTTACAAGTTGACGCTCACAAGGGGGAGCTGTGCATCGTCCCGTTCAGCTCTATGTGCACTTGTTAATCGCATCAGATCGTTCTGTCAGAAGCCGTTTTAAATGGAGACGATGGACGTGAGACCAACACGAGTGCAGTGAACACGAGAACTGAGAAGGAAAAAGACGATGGGGGCGAGGCCCATCAGATGTGTGTGTGTGTGTGTGTGAGAAGATAATCCCATTTGAGAGAGTGAGACATGTGCAACCTTTTCTCTACATAGGACTTAATTTGTGGCTGCAACTTTCAGCTGAGCTGCATGTGAAGAACTGTAAATACGACCGTTTCTACTCGACGTGAAACCTTTTCTGCACACGAAAGAAAAGTTTAAACATCTGTCACGCCCCGTGTTCTGGGTCATACTCGTGTACAATTCAGTCGTTCAGGAAGTGCTTACAACTTTGTTACTTTTTTTTTTTTTTTTAAGGACAAAGAGCAAACCAGATTTGGATGACCTGTTTTTTGTTGTTGTTGGGATGAAGCTGTAAAGGGCTTGGAAGAGCAAAAACCACCGTGTTCATTTCCTCTGTTCAATCAAACAAATAAATCAAAAGCATCTACTGTAACGTGATCTGGAACCCCTGTCCTCCAAGACTTGTCCAGACTAAAAACAAAGTGGAGGGAGGGGGGGCTTTTTATGTTTTTAGGGAGGGGGGAAGGCATGAGATTCACTTATTTTTATTTTTTATTTTTTCTGGTCAGCTTTGACTCATTGAACTGTTTCTCAGTTCCGTGGCTTCAAGGAGTGAATGTCGGACTGAAACTATGAAATGATCATTAAAGATGAGAAGTTGTAAACTATTAAATGAAATATTTTCAATTCATGCTGTGTATTCTTGTCTTTGGGTTGGAGAAAACGATCAAGCAAATAAAAAGAGAAGTAAAAAGAAGTTGAACTATTGAAGTTTGTTCTCCTGGTTTGGGTCGTCCGCTTCAAATGAACGCAGGACGAAAACCCCGGCTCAACCTCAACTGTTGCTCAGGATCAGATACCGAGTATTGAACGTATACATGGAAGTGTATTTGTGTCAGTTTGCCAATATTTCAAATTATGGAAGTACTTTAGCATCTTCTGCGTAATGGCTTTTGTTTATCTAGTACTCAACAAGTGAAAACCCTGGTAAAACATATTCAGTGTGTAGTTTAATCTGGGTTCTTTCTATAGCTCTGGCCTCTTCTTCACAAATACCAGAATGGATTTGCAACAAGCTGCGGTCTCAGTATTTCAAATAAAACCGTCCATCAAACAGTTTTCACAAATTGTCCAACCAGTCCGTGGTCAATCGTCCACTTCGTTTGGAGGAGGAAAAACAAAACACCTTTCTCATGAGGGGCTCGGTTTTAAGACCATGGACAACACTGGCCTCAGCGTAAGATGTTGATGTTTTCACTGTCTTGGTTTAAGATTAAATGTTTTCCAGATGCAATGTCCTCAAAACTGGAATATCCTGCTGGATCTCAACAGGATCTGCAGAAAATAACCAAATACGGGAACAACGGGCAAAAGAGACGGACCTGGAAGTGGCAGAAATGAAGATGTTGAGGTTCTCCTTAGGAGGGACAAGGATGGATACGATTAGGAATGAGATCATCAGAGGTTGAACAACTGCTGTTCTTAATAAATCCTTTGTGATCGTCTTTATTCTCCACTGTTGTCGTCACTCTTTGTTGAAGTCAGGTGTCTCTTGTAAATGAGTCCCCGGGGCTCAATGGGATCAACCTGTAGAAATAAAGGTTGAATGAGTGAGATGGAGAAGAACGACTCGCTGTGACGACCCCAAAGAGGACCACAGTCCTGCAGGTTACAGAGACGATGAAAACCAGGTAATAAGTTGGTGTAGGTTCTCAGTAATCCACGACGTTATGAATCCAAAAAGGTTAAGAACAACCGGACTTCTATTCTGTAGCTGAATAATTTTTGCTTCTCATCCAAGGAGCTTTCTCAATTAAAATGGGTAATTGCAATAATTATAGGTAGTTTCATGGTTAACTTGTTTTTTTCATGCTTCCAGTATAAAGGTAGTTTCTCAACAGGTAATAAGTTACTTTATAATAAACCCTTTACATACCAGGGACATGCCATGTACATATACATACTGCATGCACCTGGATACCAGGTAAGCAGCACGTACATAATCTTTACTTGTTGTGTACCAGAGTGAGTATCAGATTAGATACCCTGTAACTACCAGGTACATCAGTACTATGTACAAAGTAGCAAGTCACTTTATAGTACAGCCCTGTCACTATGGGTAATGAGTATCTACCTCCATAAGTACCTGGTATGTACCTATAGGCCTACATATCAGGTACACTGTAAGTACCAGGTAGTCTAAGTGTGTATCAAGAAGGTAACGCACTCAGTAAGTACAATGTAACAATTTCATCCCAGTTCTTGAAAAGTGCCAGGTAAATACTTTGTATCCGTGGTATTACCAGATACATAAACTGGTACATTCCCAGTGAGCACCTTGCATGTATCAAGAAAATAAAAAAAAATCAGTAAAATTAACTCTGGTAGGGTAGCATAGCATTTGTTCCAGATAAGTACCCATTATTTACTGGTACTTGCATACCTTGTAGTTTTCTTGTACTTCCTGGGTATCTATGTACAGTTTACCTTGTACTGACTTTGTACTACCTTCCCTGCTGGAACCTCATAAACCCTGTACCATACAGAGTACC